TCATTTACATGTATGTATGCAGGACAACCAAATATCTTTAAATTAGAATAATTAGCAGGAGTACCTGACCACATTTCCTCTGGAGTCTTAAAGTTAAAAGGTGCAGAAAGAGCTCAGTTGACAATATAACAAGCTGTAGAGATAGCTTCTGCCCAAAAGGCGTTTGTCAACCCAGCATTTGAAATCATGCAACGAGCCCTTTCCAAAAGAGTTCTATTCATCCTTTCTGCCATACTATTTTGCTGAAGTGTCATTCTCACAGTACGATATCGAGCAATTCCTTCATTCTTGCAAAATTCATTGAATTCATCATTACAAAATTCCAAGCCATTATCTGTTCTAAGCCGCTTAACCTGTTTTCCTGTTTGCTTCTCAATCAAAAATTTCCATTGTTTGAAATTTAAGAAAATATCATTTTTATTTTTCAGGAAATAAACCCAAACTTTTCTTGAATAATCATCAATGAAAGTTAACATATACCTGGTACCATCTTTTGATGGGGAACGTGAAAGACCCCAAAGATCTGAATAAATGTAATCCAAAGTACCTTTTGTTCTATGAATCACTGGAGATTTGAAGCTGACTCTTTTCTGCTTCCCGAACACACAATGTTCACAAAACTCTATATTTCTAGTACTTTGGCCACATAAGAGACCTCTTTTGCTGAGGATGAAAAGACTTTTTTCACTCATATTCCCTAATCGCATATGCCACAATTTGGTGATGTCAGAATCTGATTTATCTGATATTGAAACTTCAGCAGCACATGTAACAGTAGATCCCAAAAGAGTATACAACGTACCAGATCTGCGTGCTTTCATGATCACAAGAGCACCATGAGAAATTTTCAGAACTCCACCTTCACCTGTGTACTTGCACCCAAGAGATTCTAGAGTGCCCAAAGAGATGAGATTTTTTTCCAAGTCAGGAACATGTCTAACATCGGTGAGAGTTCTCACCACATCATCGTACATTTTGATTCGGACTATACCTTTTCACTACTAAAAAAATCAGGTTTTAGCGACGGATAAATTCTGTAGCTAAACAAATAAATCCGTTGCTAATCTCATTTAGCGACGAATTAGCAACGGATTATCAAGAAATTCTGCTAGCTACGAGCGTTTTAGCGACAGATTAGCGACGACATTCGTAACTAATTTCAGTTTTTTTTTGTAGTATTTCCAATAACTTTGCAGGCACCATAGATCAACCCGAATCTAAAATCCACTCATTGTTAGATTTGAAACTATTATTAGTTGCTAAAAAAATAGTTCCCTCAGTCTCATCAGCAACTACACTTGCTTCGACAGTGTCAGTATTTTTGTGCTCATTTTTCTTTTATGTATGCCTTTCTTTGTATTTCAATTTAAAGCATTCAAAAATAATGTGACCTCTCTTTATTTGCACATGACATTTCTGTATCTGGATTTTGACTTTGATTTAAGTTTCTCACTACTTGAATCTTTCTTATTAGATCTATCTCTTATGAATAAGCTTTCCCCTTGGTTTCCACTAGTTTTTCCAGTAATATCTCTATCTATTTATTTTTTTTATTTCAAAATAGATTTGATATCTTTATAAGAGATATTATCCTTTCTATAAAGCATAGTATCTCTTATATGTTTAAACGACTGGGGTAAGGAAACAAGCAATAACACAGCTTGATCCTCATCTTTGATTTCAGCATCTATGTTACTTAAATCCATAAGAAGAGAATCAAAAGTATCAAGATGAGTAAGTATAGAGGTACCTTCAGCCATACGAAAAGTGTAGAGTTTTTGCTTTAGGTAAAGCCTGTTTTCTACTGTTCTTTTCATATATANGAATCAAAAGTATCAAGATGTGTAAGTATAGAGGTACCTTCAGCCATACGAAACGTGTAGAATTTTTACTTTAGGTAAAGCCTGTTTTCTACTGTTCTTTTCATATATAGGGTTTTAAACTTTTTCCATATGCCTTTAGCTGAGCTTTCTGCTGCAACTTCATGCAAAACCTCATTTGAAAGATTTAAAATAATACTTGCTTTTGCCTTTTTGTCTATGACGACAAACTCCTCGTCCGTTATTTTATCTGGCATCTTCTCCTTTCCTTGCAGTGCCAAATATAAGCCATCCTGAATTAGGATAGCTTCCATCTTTAATTGCCACATTCCGAATTTTGCGCTTTGGTCAAATTTCTCAACATAAGACTTTGTTAGAGTCATTTTGGCTATTTAAACTAATCCGGTTAGATCTGGCTCTGATACCAATTTGTTAGGATCGGTAAATCGGGTAATGCAAAATTTAGCAAAATAATGTTATAATGACAATAACAAAGACAATGCAAGTTGATAATAACGGCAATTAAAGAAGATAAAGAAGACACAAATTTAACATGGTTCGGTCAAGGTGACCTACGTCCACAAGCGGAGAGGAGCAATATCACTATACCAACAAGAGTACAAAAGAGAGTATAAAATTAGAGTAAATACTCTAATTAGTCTCAAATACCCCAAGAGAATAACCTCACAAGATCACTCCAAAGAAAGGGTTCACACAAGTGTTTCCCAACACTCACTCTCTTACAAAATACTCTATAATGAAATAAAGGAGGAGAAAGAAAGACAAGAGCGAAAAGCTCTTGAATTGGTGTGTTTACAAATGGGGAGAAACTCCTCTATTTATAGCAAGAAATTCTTGGCCTAATAGTGGATATTATGTCATGATCCACAAATTTTGTTATAGTGGATATTATGCCATGGCAAATGTCATTAAAATTTGGCCCACTTGAGAAGAAGTCAAATTAATGGTCATATTACACAGATTATTGTTAATTTTAGGAATCAGTTTTTTTTTCACCCCTCGTTAAATTCTTTCGTATGAAGGGGAGCTTTAGAGCATCGGTAAAGCTGTATTCATGTGACCTATATGTCACAGGTTTAAGTTGTGGAACAAGCTACTAATATTTGCATTAGGGTAGGCTGTTTATATATAATCCTTGGGTGCGTCCTTCTCGGAGCCCTGCGTAAATACGAGATGTCTTGTGCACCGAACTTTCTATTTTTTTGGTTAATTTCTTTCTTATGTTTATGTTTGATGGTGATGGTTAATTATGCTAGTCTGTGTTTGTGATTTCTCGTTTTCTTTTTTCTTTTTTCTTTTTCATTTACTCCCAGTCCTATCAGGGAAATGAACACTATCCCAGTTTAATCTTTTATGACTCAAATATCCAATGTATTGATTAGTAGTGAAGGTACTCTACCATTAAAGTAAGTCTCACAGTCCTTGTTAGACTAATCAGTGTTAGTAAAATTAGGTTGATCACTTTGGGCTGAGTTGCTTTGAAATATGAGGATTTTAATTCTTTAAAGACTTATTTGCCCTAGAACTTTGTGAAATGGTCCAAATTTACCTCCGTAATTAATGGTTGAGGTTAAATATACCAATTTGGTAATAAGATAGGTTAAATAATGTCCTAATTGGCAAAAGCTCTCCAACACATGAGCTTTTTATAACAAGGAAAAAGAATCAAATTGCTTTTGAACTATGAGAAATGGTTGAGATTTATGAAGAGAGATAAACACTTGTCTTAATCATGTCAACGAAAAAAAACACACACAATTATAAATCTGTTTGGAAAGCCACCCGGTAATTGAAATTGGTATAATTACTAGGGTAGTAATTATACAGTCTAGTAATTACACAATACAGTAATTACGACAACCTATTTGTTTGTCATGACGTAAATACAGTGTAATTACAAGCGTACTATTTGGTTGTACAAGTATAATTATACAGTTAAATTAAATTTTAAATAAAGTAATTATCAAAACTTAAAATTTGATATAATAAATATATGCCTATAAATGATTTTTAGTAAGTATAAATGATATTATATTTTGTATTTGAGATGCATATTTTTTTCTTGAATATACATTAATTAGTAATCATATATTTATAACTAATATTGTACAAATAATTGAGATATATTTTAATTAATAATTATTGGTTTAATTAATTATAAAAATTTAAAAATATATTTTGTAAGAACATCATGGAATGCATGTTTGATAAAATAAATTAATATTTATAAATATAATGTCATAACATTATTTAAATATTTGATAAAATAAATTTATCAATTCTAACTAAAATGAATAACATGCAATGTGAAATAACAAGCTAATACTACTAAAACAAGTAAATTAGAACAAAAAATATAACACAATTTCAAAATCCAAAAATAAAATAAAATAGTTTAACATATGTCAAATTCCAACATAATAAAACTAAGTTCTAATACAACTTACGATTAGGAAATATAATAAGTTTATAATCTCATTCAACAATAAAATTCTACTTTAACGATATTACTCATTATATGCCAAGTTTGTTAATGACTCATTATTTCTAATATTAGGAGGTGTTGTTTCAAAAACTAGAATAATAACGCGGTTACGCTAAATTAACAAAAAATAAAATAAATAAAAAATAAAATATACGAGCAATTACATGGAATCACAAAAAGTAAAGGTGAAGAAATAAAAGATAAATATGTACAAAGAGAAATATATTTTAAAATTGAAAAAAAAAATTAAAAGTAAAAATAATAAGAAATTCAAACAATGGAAATAAAAAGTTATAAAAAATAAATTTAAAAAAAAACAAAAAGGAAAGAAATTAACCAAGTAAAAAAAAAGAAGTAGTAATTACTTGGCGAGACAAACATATCAAACGGTATAATTACACACTATTATACTCAAATCCAATTCTTAGATAGCTTTCCAAACAGCTATAAAAGTAGTAATCAATTATGAACTTCACTCCCTTTCACTCCTTCTCACCAGTACTAGTAGGTTAAAAAACAAAGGCAAAAATTAAGTGGCAACCCCCCCTCCCCC